AAATGAAAGCCAACCTGCAGAAGATGGAGTCTCGTCAGTGCATGATACTAGCTCTACACGATGCTGGGGTTTCCGTGGCTCCAATCCAGAATGCCCCGTTGTCTCCAGTGCAGTTCAGGAGCGCGATCCACTCGAGGAAATTTGCAAGAGTGCCTCGTCTACTGAGAAAAAGCAGTATATTGCTACGTCGAGGGATACAGCATGACCACAGTGTCTGACCTTTCCCTGTGCGTGCCATTTACGAAAAGTTGAGCTGCTTCTTGTACTCGGAAACCAGAGGGCGAGCTGTGCGAGTCATCTCCGTATTCCGCCGAGGGGCTAAGGGTTGTCGTGATCAGGGATGGCTTCACGGAGCCAGGGCTTTGAACATGGCCTCAGCCAGAAAGACGTCCACAAGCTCCAAGTCTAGCTTCGACAGAACAACATAACGCCTGCTTTCTCTACACTGGCATCAATCTGTTGTTCTGTGGGTTTTTTTCGACTTCTCGACGATCTTAACATCATTGGCCTTGCGTCAACCTTGCAGGGATTTTTTCCTGAGAATCATTACCAAAGAGATCCTGAAAACCGAAGACGTCTAGCGCTGAGTGACCACAAAATTGCTCTAGGGGCTTGCAGCTGATTGTGTCACAAAGTGGTCCCATGCCGTCTCCCCTGCGTATCGGAGCAAGCCGTCTACACCGCGTGCTTCGAAAAGCTACAGCTGCAATTATCTTGCGATTCTCATGAACTCAACGAGGTGTCTTATCCCGTGTCTGCCGGCAGCACAGCATTGTGCAGAGAGGTGGCTCTTCAGAATGTAGCTGCAAAGCTCCTGAGCGTCGGGGAGCTCTGGCTCTACTTGGGAGGGACATAACATTATGCCAAAAGGCGTAAATGGCCGCAAACTGTGAGTTCAGCGATTCCTTCAGCTTCGCCACCTGCACAGGAGCATCGGAAGAATGGCACATCACCTGCGGCCTTTAGGTGTTCATTGCCGACCTTCTTGGACACCATCTGCGACTTCCCAAAAGTGAAGATCTCTTCGCTCATCATATTTAAGATGCGGAGGTTGTTCTCACAGAGGAGCCTCAGCTACGTTTCGCTGTAGAAAGCTAGATTTTCAGAAGCGTCTTGTCCAAGGAGCTGGTTCGTCTTGCAAGAACCACATATGTCTGGAATAAAGTTCTCCCAAGCATGTGGCCACTCCTGTCGAGCTTTGTATGCACATCATACTGCTGTACCGGGGCTGCTTGCAAATCCTGCTTGACGATGTTCACCAGCGTCCTTGCGTGACGGCGGATACCATGCCGAAGTTGCAAACTCGCAACAGGCGAGTCGATGCACAACATCTGACAAGCATCTCATTCAGCTTCGTGAGGACGTGCTTCTGCGTGGTTGCAAAATGCTCATCGGCTGAAATCTTAATCACAAGCTGCACCTGAAGAGCTGGCATGTTTTGGGATGCGCGATTCGGGTGCAGGAACCTCAGGCTCGAGCCACATAGTTTTTGATGCCGGCTTTCCTGCAAATGTTAAAGTGCAGCGAGACAATGGAAGCCGCCAGTGCAAAGGAGGCGCTGTGGCTCAGTCAAGACCATCCAGCGTGTGGAGATCACGTTTTCGAGCACATTCAATGCCTGAGCTGAGCTGGAAACGATCCGATGAAGGACGGTAGTGGTCCAAATTACCAAGCCACAAAGAATTTGGTGTCTGGACCTTGCGCTGCTCAAAACGTCTCTCGCGCCGCTGCGAGCCCACTGCCAGTCACTTTGCACGAGGTGTGGACTGTGCGAGGTAGCGAGGATGGTGTCTACGGCAAACCAGGAGTCTGGATGAGTTCGGACCTGTGTCAAGACCTGCAGGTCCAAGCGAACAATCGCACGACCCCTGCCACGAGCATCCCTCCTCGTGCGCCAGTTTTCGTTGCGATTGGTCGCCTTGGTGCTCAGTTGCACCGCCAAATCGCAACAGTCGTAGCAAGCCCACCAAGGACTTGGAGCAAGGCCGGCGTACATTAGTGTGACCTGAGCACTCGCAGATCAATGCGGCAGTCACGGTTCCCATCTCCTTCGCTTCGCTTCGAAAGATCCGCCGATTCGGACTCCTGGCCCTGGCCGGTGCCTTCGTGTCGCCAAAAGGCAGGGAGGCAGGGAAGGGGTCGGCGGTTTCAAAAAGTTCAAAGCGACTAAGCCCCCGCTTTCCGGGCAGCCGTGCTCTTGGAGACGCCGCCCTCTCCGAGTGTGTCTGAAACATGCTCAGTATTGCTTTTTCAGGAAAGCGGGGAACTCTGTACACTAACCAGAGAAGATCATCCCATCGCGGTTCCGCGGGTGGGAGAGCTTCAGGGATATCTGGTGGACAGTCTCGCGCTCAGCTCGCATCTCCTGAGGAAACGCTGAAACGATGTGGTCAAGGAGGCTTCGGCCCGGCTGCCCGGCCGAAAGTCTGAGTCCTCTCGCCTCTCGCAGGTGCTCTGGCAGTGGAGTCCGCGGCTTCTTCTCGTAAAGTTTCAGCGTGCGCTCCCCCAAGAAGCCCACCTGCAGTCTGAAGATCTCCAGTCGTATACACGTTAAGAAAAACGCCCGCCTTCTCCCAGGTCGATTCTTTAACGAAAAAGTTGCCGTAGGAGTTTCTGCCCCATGTAGTTCTCATCTCCTACGCCAGACTAGACTTCGGTTACAGGCTGCAAGACGCAAGCGCATGACTTGGGACCTTGTCTGGCTCGAGTCTTGGCATAGATCTGCCCTGAGTCACTCGGCAATAGAATTGCGACGTGAGGCATGGGCTCCTGCCTTTGTCAACTCGGGTTGGGATCGAACCCGTCGCCTCTTCATGCCTGCAGGCGCGGCGGCAGAGTATCGGAGATTAGCCGGAGCATGCCGAAGCTGCCTCGAAGGACCTGTGTTCGCAAATGCCCGACCAAAGCCTGCAGACTCTGTGCAATGCCATCCGTCGAGCTCTGCATGGGAGATGTCGTCGCATTAGAAGGGGGCCTCGTGGCTCAAGGTGGTCACGTCGGTCTCAGAGGCATCCCACTCCTGGTGCCAAGACGGAGCAATGATCTTCAAACGCGCTCGCACTCGCGCTCGCTGCGCCCGCCACGCCCGCTCCGCCTGCCTTGGGCTTGAAGGTCGCTTTTGGTGTGCCGCACGGTGTGCCAGCTCCGAGTCTGGAGTCCGAGTCTCTTGCTGCAGTTTCTGCAGTTTGCGGCCGCCTCAGTTGAGGTTTCTGCACCTGCAACGTTTTAGCCGCATTGCAAAAGCATAGGCAAGTTGCAGTGGCGGAAGTTGTGCATTGGTCAAATCCGGCGTGTTGTCCAGAGTGTGGAGCAGATTCTCAAAAGCCCAGGGGTAAGCGTATTTCAAGGACCTGCGACCCGTTGGCGGGGCTTGAGCATCTGAGAAAGAACGCAGCCAAGTTGCACCAGGTGTCCCCCTGGCCTGTACTCGGGCCGCTTGGAGTGGGGAAGCAGGACAACCATTGGGATCCCGGCTCAGATGCGGTCGGGCCGTTTTGCCAGGTTTGGTGTCTGCAACATGCCGCTGTTCTGCATAGAGGGTGCAACCGTCTTGTCGCATCAGAGACTACGTAAGCCAAACGGCTTAAGCGGCGGTCAGTGTTTTAAGCCATCCGTGGCTCAACGAAGACTCGGCAGCCAAGGTGCCATGTGGTCCAGCATCTGCACTTTGCCTCAGATGCGCGTGGCTCATGGAAACCACAGACAGGAAAGCTGCAACACACAGCGGTTTGCTGCAACGTTGCTGGCATCCCATGGCTCGCTGAAGCTGAGAAGCTGGGCAGGATCCTGTCTTGTCGAGGCGCCAGGTCATGAGCGTGAGAGAGCCTGTGGGAATGTCTGAGAAGAAAGCAAAAGGCAGGCCCGGATAGGCTGCCATGGCCTTAGTGGAGTGCATGCAGGGTTTTGTTGGCCAACTGCAGCTGCGAGCTCTCAGGTTCCAGCTCTTGCCAGCTGCCATTCGGTCACCTCAAGCAGAAACTTTGACGTTCTGCGAACGCACACCCCCTCGGATCCGCACCTGCTCACGTGCTCAGTGCAACAGCCGGCCATGCGCAGAAAGGAACTCAACTCAGGCTTCCAGGCCGTCTTGGGATGGGTGCTGGGACGAATCCGCCGACACTACTCTCAGCTCTGCTGGCTTAAGTTGCTGAAGGTAGGCACTAGGCACAGCTGAAGTTGCAATGTCCAGCGCATGCTACAGTTACAGTATGCTCCATCTCCAATTGCGTGCCATGGGTTGCTTGTACTCCTACGCCGCACCCATCAGCTGCGTTCCTTGCAATTTCAGTGACGTCATCGAGGTGGGAGATGTTAAACCGGACCCGATGCTCTGCGTACCTGTGGACTACACCAGATAAACAAATCAACTCCATGAGAACAAACTGTGCCACCTGCAGACTTTACCCTCCATCCACAGAAAACTGACGGGCTCTGATGCAAAACGATCATAATATAGAAATAGGGGTGATAGCTACAGAAATCGACAAACATCTGCGATGCTACCGCACTGAAGCTACTCGAGTGGAGCCGGGGCATCCACTATAGGCGTCAGGGAAGTTGTACATGTTTAACGTCTGTCTACGCACGACATTTCGGGAAATCAAGAGGCCGGAACACATGCGAAAGTGGCTGGCTCGACGAGAGTCTATTCTGCTATCAGCTGCTCATCTCGCTCTGTCCTAGATCCGAAGTAAAAAAAACCTCCATCCGACAACTACCAGCCCATCGACCTCGGATGCCACGATAGTCTCTCACGGCTTGGACTTACCAAGTGAGGGTTTGCCGAGTTTACGTTGAGCTCGCGTCATGAGCATGTCGCAGAACCTAGACTCACAGAATCTCCACCAAATCTTCTTGTTCTGAGGAATCCGAAGAACGACTGGAAACAAACTCACCACAATTTGCCTGCTCCTGCTTTGTGTAGTCAGCCTACCCCGGCATCCTTGCAGCTCGCTCTGTCTAAAGCTAGTGCAAGTGCATTCTGTTCGATGCGAAACTGTCTACACCATTTCTGGTGAGACCTGCGTAGCAGAGGGCGTCTCCGCAGTGTCCTCAGGCGACTCGTGATGATTAGTCGCATGATTGAAGCAGCTTTGGGATTTGACGCCAAGTAGCTCGAAATCCAAGGGCTGCCTTCAGATCCTCCTATGCAAACGCAACAAGCCCGCAGTGAAGTGAGGCCCCTGTGAGGCTCGGGAGTCCTGTGCTGCCTTCGCCAAGTGGGGCCCAAGAAGCTCCCGAAGGCGACTGCGGAAGCCAAGCCGGTCGAACCGCCAACTTGGGCTCAAAGCCACCACGTGCACAAGGCCTTCAACATGCAGCTTTATGCAGCTTTGCAAGGCTTGCATCATCTTGCATCTCTCAGCTGCCACAGTCTGACAGTATGCTGCATGCTGATCATGCTGCTTCGTGGAGTGTTGCGGTCCGAGCTGCCGCGGCGTGTGTCAAGGAAGAGATCCGGATGCACCAGGAGGCCTCAGCCCAAGGAAGGGCTCTGGGCTCGGTTTGGCTCGGTTTGGCTCTGCTGGTGACGCTGGTGCAGTCGAAGGGCGCGCTTGGCCCTCCACCGGGCACTGCTGTCGAAGCCACTCGGAGAAGGGAACACCCTGTGGTGCCAGGGAGCCCAAGGGCTGGGCCCCATAAACAACGGCGTCCACCACCTACGAGTAGCACGTTCCGGCGTTCCGACTCCGCTCCTACACCGCGCTCCCACCCGATCTTCTCTCTCTTTTCTCTCTGACTTGAGGCTGGGGCGGAGTGGTGGAGGAAAATCTGCAGGACCTGAGGCTGCAAAGAATCAAAACGTCACGTGAGGATGCGCACGATGGCCACAATGACCGGCAGACAACGAGCACTCATAACATGAAAATGATGCCAGCCAGTGAGACTAGGGCTTTGGCACAGGGGGCGCGCAGCTGCTGCTATTCGATGCATGAGGTTAAACCAGTTAATCTATCCAAGTCACAACAGCAGTAGTAAAGTAATAGCAACATGCAGCAGCAGGACCATCTCAAGGAGTGGAATCTTCTCTTGACGAGGTGCATGCCCTCTCCGTTTGGCTGCTCCCTTCGCCCCGGAAGCCCGCGAATCCAGGTCAAACTCCTGGCCAAGTGCCAGGATGCCGGACCTTGGCAAAAGCGCACAGACCGCCGTCGCAGATCTGACTCTGACTCTGAAGCTTTCATGACTGTGTAACGCTCCCGAGCCGCAGCAAGGCCGGCAGCTCCTCGAGCTCCCCGGCTGGCTGCAAGACCAGCTCCTCAACACACAACAGAAAGCCTGGCTTTCGCTGAGACGACTCAATGCCGCCCGAGTGGCCAGCAGCCGTCCTAGGAGCGAAGGCACAGGGTTCTCCTGCCTTGCTTTCCCCAAACCAAGACGAGGAGCGAATGTCGGCGCTGGTGTCATGCGGAGTGTGGTATCCGCTGACAAGATAGTTTTCCAACATGCCTTACGAGCCCGGACGAGTATCCAAAAAGATCCGTCGAATCACCACTCGCCGTGTTGAAATGCAAGTTCTACTCCACTATAACACAGTTGCTACCCGAACCACCGCACTGAGACAGATGCTCCTCCCATAGCCTCCAGAGGCAAAGCAGGAACAAAACCTGAGAACTCTCATTGTGCCATCACACTCAAAACATATCAGAGCTATTGAGGCTCGTGCGCAGAGATAGCAAGGGCTCCTGCACTACTAATGTCTGACGCCGTTTCCCTGTTCAAGAAGCTCCGATCAGTGCGAACCCTTACCTAGCTAAGTTTGCGCGGGCGGCGGAACTCTGGGGTGCGATCGCTGACGCCAGCTTTGCGGAGGTCCAGCAGCTGCTGCCTTCCCCCGAGGTCCCGCCCGATCGGAGCTGAGGTTGCTGAGGCTGAGGACAAAACAAGGATACGTTCTCGAAGGGAGCCCTGCGCAGCGGCGCAATGCGGCGCAGCCCGGAGTGAATGCCGACGCTTTGCCTCGGCTCGGCATCTCGGCCGGCCTCGTCAAGCGTAGTATCGGCGGGCCATCTGCCGGATAGCCAAGGAAGAAAGCAGCGAGCACGGCTTGCAACCTCAGGAGCCGAGATTCTCTAAATCCTCTGCCTGGCACCCTCCCAACCTAAGAACGCAGCTCGTAAAGTATGCAAGAGCTGGAGTAGCTGTGGTAGAACACTGCGTGCTCCTCATTGAAACACCGGCAAGCTCACTGTCTTTTCAGAATGGTGCTCAACCACTGCATGCCAGCGCTCCGTGACCTACCGCATCTTCTACTCTGCTACATCGCTGAACCTCACCCACCTCCGAAAAGTGCAGTTCATTTGCAAGCATCGTCTGGATAGCCTGTGTCAGGCAAGGAAGGCGAAACTGATAGATACCCCGCTTCGGCTGCTTGGCTCAGCAACCGGCAGCGCTCACTGTTGCTTTGCTGTTGTCTTCGAGCGATCGCAGCACGTCCTACGGCAAAACGATCGGGTGCAGAAACGAGTCATGCGTCATGATCATCCATCAGACCTATCATGCTTCTAATCCGCCTGATATACTCGCCGCATGTCTGTGCGACCTTGCAAAGATGTACAGCAAGAATACCTCGCCCAGTCTTCTTCTCCTTGGACACACAAGGTTTCAACGTGCCGCCGCGTACACAAGCACTCAAGTCAGAACACAAAAAGCACTCGAAGAGTGGAGCAGCAGAATGTCATCGACACAAGCACGCACGCGCACACAAACACACACACACACACAGACACACACAGACACACACAGACACACACAGACACACACAGACATACACAGACACACACACAGACACACACAGACACACACAGACACACACAGACACACACAGACACACACAGACACGCACACACAAACACACACAGACACACACACACACACACACACACACACACACACACACACACACACACACACTTGAAATCAACTGAAACTGGAAATCCGAAAGCTTCATTCTTAATTAGTGTGACATTTTCACTCAAGCATCAGTCTGAAACTCAAGGCTTGAAATGTGTGAGCTCTTCAACATGCTCGGTTCCTTCATGTCGGCGGGGAATCTGTTAACGAGAACGCAATGAAGATTTCGGTCCCAAGTATGCCACACACACACAAGGAATCGCATATACAACCGGGTGAAATGACCCGTAATTATGTGGCCTACCCGCGCTTGAGACTCCCGAGGCCAGCATATTTTGAAGCAGCGATACTGCTTGAGTGTCTGTGAGATGTCCTGAGAGCGGCAATTGAAAGGGTGAAAGCACGGAAGCTTCAGGAGCTGTTCTCAGAAAGGATCACAGCAGAATACGTTATCAAGAAGACATACACTGGCAGCATCTTGAAGGACTCAGCCACCAGCATGACATTCGATATGCAAGCCAGTGTAGCGGCCATATCCGACCTCGTAGTCTTCTAGCATCGTGCTTTGCAACGTGCTGGCAGCCCTGGAAGGGCCAAACGCGGGGTGTCCCTGAGCACCGCGCGCACCTTTGCTTAAGGTGTCCGCCCTCGGACACCTTAACTGACAGCTCAGTGTCGGAGCCCACGCCGACCCAGCAGCAGGGACTTGAGCAAACTTGGGGCTGCTCGCGCTCTGGTTTTCAAGGCCTCCGAAAGCTTCTCGAACTCCTGGGCCACCAGAGCGTGCTGCTCGTACCGGCGCAAGCTGGAGTCTGAAACCCACCTTCCCCGAAGCTTCACATCGAGGCCGGTGCGGTAATCTTTGAATCGGTCCCATGTGGCCCCAGAGTGCCTGAGTTGGTGCAGCACTGCAAAACCTTTCTTGAGCTTGAGGCTCGCCAGGATTTGATTCCATGCATTGGTGACCTCCGTGTAGCTGGTAGGCAGCAGCGGTCCATTGTCCATTGAGGACTGCCCCGGCACATTCCAACACCGCACCCAACCAGGGAATTTCCTTGTTGTCTAGCATGATCGACTCGTTGTTCACATCTGTCTTCGAAGCCTGCATGTCTTCGGAGGGGTGCAGATTGATGGCCCAAGTGCGGCCCAAGAGCAAACTCTTGACCAGGTCCTGGCGACGGAGACCGAACACTTCTCCCGGGCGAAGATACGCCACGAACATCAAAAGCACTGCCATGCACTCGAAGAGCTTGCCCGCTTCGGCCATCTGGAGCGCAATGAGAGCGATCAGCGGCCAAGCCAAGGGCGGGCGAGTGACACCCGGGTCCAGGTTCCGCCACCCTTGCATGGCTCTGCGTGTCCTTGGTAGCGCGTGCTTGCCTCCCAACTCCGGCTACTAGCTTCACCCTGGGCCCTCGGTGGAATTGAGATTGGCTTAAACGGCCTGGTACAAGGCCTTCCCCTGGCACCGGCGGTTTTACGCTTGAAAACACAATAAATCCGGAGCCGGCCCTGTCACCGGCGCTTTTTTCGCTTCAAAACAAAATAAAACAGGAACCGGGCCTAGTGCGTGTTTCTTTTGCGTGACAAATAACCAAAACCAGAAGTTGAGGCCAGCGAAAGATACCCGACAGGTAGCTGAATCTGGCTTGTGGGTAAAGTCTCGATTCTGCACGGCTTACTTCGAATGCATATCGGGGTGGGGACACTGTTACAAGCAATTTTAAACACAAATTCAAAGCAAAATCAAGCAAACCATGGCTGGCCCTAGTGGACTTTGATAGTTTTTTCGGGTGCCATTCGCTTCCCCGCACAAGGGCACTGGACGACTGCGCCACGATGAGGCTGCCACCATTTGCAGCCGAAAAATAATCGTTCTTGAGGCTTCGCATAGCGCCTAGAGGTTTTGAACAAATGTTGGGTGCCATTTAGCTTCCCCTCGCAAGGGTACTGGACGACTGCGCCACGATGAGGCAGACACCCGTTGCAGCCGAAAAAATTCCGTCCCCGAGGCTTTCTTAGCAGCCTCGGGGGGCCCACCCCACTCGGGGGGATCCTGAATCAGATTGGATGCCAAGCAGGCGGCTGTCCTCGCCACAAGAATCCCTCCACATTCTTGATATGCACGGTCTCCACGGGAAGATAAAGTCCATCCTGGGCACTCAGGAATCCCTCCACATCCTTCTCATGCACGGTCTCCGCGGGAAGATAAAGTCCAGGCTGTACTCGCCACCAGAATCCCTCCACATCCTTCTCATGCACGGTCTCCGCAGGAAGATAAAGTCCATCCTGGAATCCCTCCACATCCTTCTCATGCACGGTCTCCACGGGAAGATAAAGTCCATCCTGGGCACTCAAGAATCCCTCCACATCCTTCTCATGCACGGTCTCCACGGGAAGATAAAGTCCATCCTGGGCACTCAGGAATCCCTCCACATCCTTCTCAAGCACGGTCTCCGCGGGAAGATAAAGTCCAGGCTGTCCTCGCCACCAGAATCCCTCCACATCCTTCTCATGCACGGTCTCCGCAGGAAGATAAAGTCCATCCTGGAATCCCTCCACATCCTTCTCATGCACGGTCTCCACGGGAAGATAAAGTCCATCCTGGGCAATCAAGAATCCCTCCACATCCTTCTCATGCACGGTCTCCACGGGAAGATAAAGTCCATCCTGGGCACTCAAGAATCCCTCCACATCCTTCTCATGCACGGTCTCCGCGGGAAGGTAAAGTCCAGGCTGTCCTCGCCACAAGAATCCCTCCACATCCTTCTCATGCACGGTCTCCGCAGGAAGATAAAGTCCAAGCTGTCCTCGCCACAAGAATCCCTTCACATCCAGAAGATAAAGTCCATCCTGGGCACCCTGAGTGCGCCAAAGAGGGCCGGCATTCTGATTCTGACCATTCTCCGCTTCCCGAGGCCTCAATCACTGCCTTGGCGGGACCTGCGTTCCTCGTTCCCTGAAAGATCACCCTCACACTATGGCTCTCGTTCCTCGTTCCCTGCAAGATCACCCTCACACTATGGCTCTCGTTCCTCGTTCCCTGCAAGATCACCCTCACACTATGGCTCTCGTTCCTCGTTCCCTGCAAGATCACCCTCACACTATGGCAATGGCTCTCGTTCCTCGTTCCCTGCAAGATCACCCTCACACTATGGCAATGGCTCTCGTTCCTCGTTCCCTGCAAGATCACCCTCACACTATGGCAATGGCTCTCGTTCCTCGTTCCCTGCAAGATCACCCTCACACTATATGGCAGCGGATGGCACAACATACAATCAACGGTCCACGGTCAGAGCAAGAATCCTGCAAAGACACGCACACCTTAGACACGGGCCAACATTTTTCACACAGCTGTCACTGAATCTTGAAATGGTGCCTTGCTGCCGCCATGCCGGATGGAAAATGCGTTGCATGACAGTGTAAGTCAAAAACTCAACATGCCTGCCTGATGGCTGATGGCTCACCGCCTAAGGCGTGCCCATTGCTCTTTCAGAACCTTCGCAGCTTCTAGAAGCATTTCAAACGCTTCATTCTCCTGGCCTAACTCTGAGTCTCGTGGATTACGGATTTTTTCTTCTTGCATGAAATCGAGAAAGTCGCTTGCATCTTTCAGCGCAGATGCATGGGATGCCCCTTGCAAGAGTCGCTTGTCCAGCTCAGGGAAATACGGGACCGAATCAACCCATGGGACCTCGACGAGCTTGCGAAAGTTGCCGTACTCGTCCATGGATTCCACCATATCTTCGACGCACTGAAACAGCACAGCTGATGCCTGTTCTTTGGGATTGCATCTTGAAACCCCTAGTCTTACATCTCTACACAACAAATCTTACATCATGTCCTGACTCCTGACCACTCTTCGATTTCAACTCCAAACAACTGACAGGCCTGGCACACTTTCTTGTTCTCATCGCTTGCCATGCAAGCTGCTGCAGTCAAAACTTGTCTTAGTTGCACGGCACGGTCCTTCACCTTGCCATCGTCGAATCCATGCAGTACCAACATCTGCAACATGACGTTCATCAAGTGCCCCTCAGACAAGCGCCCCGTCTGGATGATGATCATGATCTCCGGACAGTAGCTGGAGGGATCGCTAAGCAGTGCAAGCAGGCTAGCAACTAGAACCCGTAACATGAACATGGCAGCGGATGGCACAACATACAATCAACGGTCAACCGGTCCACGATCAGAGTGAGTGGCACATTCTGTGGCCAAGAATCCTTCAAAGACACGCTGCACACCGTGGGAACATTTTTCACACAGCTGTCACTGAATCTTGAAATGGTGCCGTGGTGCCTTGCTGCTGCCGCCATGCCGAGTGGAAAATGCGTTGCATGACGTTGCAAGTGAAGAAATCAAAATGCCTGAATGGATGCCTCAGCGCCTAAGGCGTGGCTGCACTCAGTTGATGTTGATGGCCTCTGAGGTGATGATGCATTCATCTTTGGTCTTCTTTGGCTTTGTGGCTTTCGCGGCGACGGGTGGATCCACTGCTTGCTCTGCTGAGCCGGCTGAGCCTGCTGACTTCTCTACGGCTTCAGGCCCTTGAGGCTTCGATGGTTCTGGCTTGCCCTTGTTGTGCTCACCCTCACCTGTTGCCAAACCGTCATTTGGCTTTGGGGACTTTGGGGCCTGGGGCTGGGGCTCCTCGCGCTTGGCTTGCTCGGCTTGGGCCGCTTGGGCCTCAGCGGTTCCGGGTGCCTCAGCTGAACCCTGGTGCTTGTTGGGATT